GACATCAGGGAGTCAGTACTGTTCTAAAAGATTGGGAATCTACCTTCACTGTTTTCTTCCAGTATGTCCATGTTTATATTATTTTTATTTCAGACCTCAGGTCAACTAAAGACTTTATTTGGAACTGTTTTTCCAAAAATAATCTCAATATTCCAGTAGAAAATACTGACATTTTTCCTCATTTACGAGTTAAGTAATTAGATTTGTTCATGCAAATCAAATGACTGTGTACTTCCTAGGGTTATTGGCATGATAATGAGTATATTTGCCTATACAGTTCAGATTTTGCATGTGTGTTTTCCACCTGTTTCAAAGGTGCTTTTTCAGACATTATCATGTTGAAAATTCTTCTACTTGATACTTATTAGTTGAACATAGTTGTTAATATATACCATTCTTCGCTTCTCCTTAAACTCCTTCAGTGCCTGTACATGTGAGATTATTGACAAAATTAGACATTATTTTACAGTAGAGTTACAGCTGTCCAAGTTCTAAATAACAGCTTTAACTAACCCCATGAGGAAAGATGCCTAATAATTTTCCAAGTTTTCTTTGTTAGTGATAGGATTCATGAGAACACTTAGCTATTAAAGCATTACAGTTTCTTTGATTTCTTAATCATTAGCAACTTTCGCTCTGATTGCCCATGGAGTTGCAAGCTGTTAAAATTATCATTTGCCTCTTATTAATTTTGAAACCAAGAGCTGTTTCTTCCTTTGATATAGCACAGGTCTTTCTCAGTACACCCACAACTCATAAACAGTATGAATCTAGTGTAAGAAAGCTTAGTCTAAAAGTAATGAATTTATAAAGTCAATTAAGATACAGTAGAATACCTCAAACAACTGAAGACTTCCGTTTTCTAAGGGATTTAGCAAAGACTTTTTTAGTAGATCTCTCTTGTTCTTAAAATTTGTGATTTAAATGATGATTGTTTATTAAGATATATGAAAGATATGTCCTGACCAAAAGCCCAGTTGAAAATAGCGAATACATTTCATACATTTCTGCATTATCATGTAACTCAATAGACTATTTCTTATCCTGTAAAAATTCTGTTTATACACAGTCTTTTACAAACCATATCCCTACTGTGTTTGACCCATCATAGCACTGTAGCACTGTCCTCCCATTGTTCATCGATTTGCTCAAGTGGGCACCAGTAGTGTCTCCATTGTGAGACTTGTTACAGTTTTTGTCATCTCAAATATGCCACGGGAAGCTTGCCAGGCTCTTCTGTGCAGGCGGGATACTCTTAGTAGCTTGCCAGGCTCTCCGAGAGGGATGGAGGAATGAAGCCCAGGTTGGCCGCATACAAGGCAAACACCCTACCCTCTGTGCTGTCGCTCCAGCCCAACCCATAAATACTCTGAAATACTGAATTGATGTATGTTAAAGCCAGTTGGTGATAAAATATATTACCATGAGTATTAATTCATGTCCTCCATTCAAAGCTACTACTATAATCCAAATATAGTTTACTAGGAAAAAGTTGAAAACTAACAACTTAAATTTTTTTAATGTCATCAATGTTTGAATGTCCGTCAACATTTAAACTGAAGGAATTTGTATTAGGGCAAGGAGATTCTGTGAACTACTATTGTAGGCTACTCAAGAAGTGTCTTAGATGCTTGTTAAAATAATAAACTCCTAAACTCCGTTCTCAAAACTTATGGTGGGCAGATCTAGGGCCAGCCTAACACTTAAAAGTTTTGGAAGGCTACCCAATTTTTTTGGAAGGCTACCCAATGCTTTTAATACTAATTTAAATACTAATTTTATACTATATTAAAATAATTTAATACTATTTAAAATTTTTGAAAACTACCCAATTTAATGTTTCATTTTCAAAACATAAGACAGTATCAATGGTAGCATTCTAATGACTCTTCTTGGCTTCCTGTTAATCTCCCTTCTTCCAGAAGATCCAGCTCTCTGCCATGATCCTAGGGATAGGAAAATTTCCTTAGAACCAGACTTCCGAAAAATGAAAATGTAGCTTTCTTCAGTCTAATATTTCTGAGTTCTGTGGATTCCTTTTGAATACTAATCCAACAGTAATCATCAGACTCTGCGGATGCTACAACATGATCCATTTCATAGAACAAAACAAGAAAAACGAAAATGAGCGCTCCCTGGAAATTATCTCTTACTCGATAGATTTGTACTTATAATTTATATATAATTTATAATATTGTATACGATATATGTTATATTTAAATATATATAATTTTTACTTACATACTCTTATGTATGCGCCATATTTCTATCCTTTCTGACATCATTCCTCATGGAACAAACTCCTCTCAAACTTGTGCAAGAACTTTTTCTGAGGAGGCAGGAATGTTAGATTCTTTGAGATGCTACATATTGATAGGGAAATTAAAGAACAGATACACTTACATATCCTTGCCTAATTCATTCAGTCCAGTATTCACCTTGATATCCTTTTACCATTAGTTTTTTAAAAACTCATTTTCCAGACCTAGCTATATATTCCTTCCCTTCTACTCTATGTAAAATTTATTTATACGTACTAACCAGTATGGTTTCTCCAGCTTATTTCCTTTTTTACCTACAAACTAATATTGATACCATTTTCTCTACCTTGTAGTATACATATAAATAGTGTTTCCCATTTTGTCGTTATTATTAATCAAAATCATACATTATAATGCATTGTGTTTTGAATGCTCAATAAACTATACCTGTTTCCCAGAGAAACGTCTGTTGCCCATATTTCTAAGGATTGTGTGCAGGTAGATTAAGAACATTGCACCAGTCCTATGAAAACTTATGACAGAAGAAAATACATTATTTTCTTTTGTGACAAAATTCTATTTTTCTTCAGTGTTTGTGCCTCTTTTTTCATGCATGATGTACTAGATGCTATGAAGAACAAAGAAAACTCGATAAAACATAATTGTGGAGTCTCATCATTAGTTTTTAATTCTATATTAAAATGTAAAATAATTTAATTTATAAGTAGTATTTCCATTATCTCTTCACTGGAGTTAATAATTCAAATTCCTCTTTGAATTTGAATTATTCAACTGTTTTGCTTTTTAACCCAGAGAATCCCAAACTTCACAAGTTGAAGGATGTTAAACAATTTGACCTATCTTATTAGTGATATGAAACTTCATAGCTAAACAAAGGGAATCAAATAAAACCTGGAATTCACCAATGAGTGTAATAAAACTTCTCTATATTTCCTAAAAATAAAATCTTTCTTCTAGAACATGGTTAACTACTCCCTCACCCAAGTTGCTCAAGGTTTGCTTTCCTCATAAAATTGTTCTCTCAATGAAAAGATTAAAGGAAAAATAAAAAATAATTTATTATTTTTCATAAATGCACTCTTAGAACAACATAGTACTAACCCTTCCATCCTCGGTTACTCTGACCCCATCTTTTCAGATGATTTTTTCCATTGAATAAATGTCTGAGATCTTTGTCACTAGAAATTAACAATATTTTGATGATACAGTGTCATCATGAAGTAATAACACAAGTGATGTGTATTGCACACTCTTCTTTTTTGTTTTGAATTTTAATCCCTCTTACTCTCTGATGTGAAGAACATGATTTAAAGAAAATGAAAGATTCTGAGTCATAAAGGACAATGCTGTTAGTCATACACATATGTAAAGGGATGTCTGTTCTTTTATTGTAACTTACGTTTTCTTTTCATAGTTCTTTGTGGGATTCTGGTACACAAGAAATAAATACAGATGTCGCTTAGATTAACTGCTTTTTTTCAAGTTTAATTCATCCAAGTTTTTATAGTATTCTGGGTTGAATCATTTTCTGCAGCAACCTTCGCATTAATTTATGCGGTATTCCACTAGGTCCATTTGATTCGTATCCTTGGTCAAAGTGCAGGCATTTTCAGCGTATGCCATGCACGATTAAGTGACATTGTTATTCACTGTCACCTCATATTAATGATGCAGTTGTCTTAATAAGCTGACAGTGTAAGAGTCAGTTGTCTGGATGGTGAGAACATTAGGTGGTTTTCTTTACAAATATAATTAGAAATTAAAAAGGAATGCAAAGGCCAAGTACAAAAATGACGGTAACTGATACAAGTGTATTGTAAAACTTAAATTTTCTCATGTTCTATTTTCCGACTTTTTTAAGTAAATGAAATTTTTAATTATAGTTTCTTGTTTCTTATTTTGTATCTGCTTATCATTATATACTTGTCAAATTTGGGTTTTTTGTTAATTGATTTATGTGTATAGGTATGATGTTCATCTTCAAAATAGTCTTTCCTTTTTGCCTGTACTGCTGATGTGTATTTTCTCTGTCTTCTGAAAAGTACATAAGTTTGTACGACTAGCATCTAAGATAAAATCACATATGCAGCTGACTTTGATTCCTTTTTTAAAATTTAGTAAATTAGGTTTGTAGCTGGATTCTTGCATATATTTTGCTGCAAGATGTTCCTTCTCGTGTTTGTATTTGCAGATGTGGATAGAAGTCAAGGGAGATAAATATGTGTTGAGATGCATGAGAGCTTTTAAGAGATAAGCGATGAGAAAAATTCAGTGTGTAGAGTTTGTGACTGAAATATATTTTGGAGATATTTAAATGAACGTCATTTGTCAACATGCCTCAAATCCTAGCACTTGAATCATAATTCAGATTAAAGTCTCTGTATTCAAAGTATTACTCCCTTAATCCACAGGTCATTTAAAGCTATGTTCCAGCTGTTCTAAAACGGTAATCTTGGACATCTTTTCTGTTGCTGTCCAAACAGATATTTCATAACTTTTATTTCTTAGATAAATTTCTGAATCAAAAAATGATCTTCTAAGTCCCTCTCCATTTATTATTTTTACCTTAACTTTAAAACTGTTAAAGAAACAATCCTATAATTATCGCAAGACATTTAAGAAGATAGGTTAAAATTGAATGCCTTGGGAGTTTTGTGTGGTGCAGAAAAGCAAGGAATAATTGGTTTATTTGTTTCTTCCCCCATCTAATGTTTTTAGGTACAAGCCTATGCAGAAAGTGGATGGGGTTGCAGATGGTTTCACAGGAAGTGGTCAACAGACAGGCACATCTGTTGAGCAAACTGTAATTGCCCAAAGCCAACATCATCAACAGTTTTTAGGTATGTTAAGGTGTAATACTAATAGATGCTACTAGGATTTTGAAAACAATCGAATCATAGTAGTGTTTCTTTCAAGTACAATGTCTATTATAGATGTCAATTACGCCAGTTTTTTTTTATGCTAAAGTTATGCACAGTATACAGTTCTAGGTTATTTTTACTCTTTGTGTTCCAAAGAGCTAATCATTAAAAAAATGCAAGCTACGTGAGGTTTTCAAATGTGTATGAATTAAAAGCTATGAAATTTTTTTCCAGACTTGGTATTAATCGGGATTTTCTGATCAAAATTGTGTTTATTATTTAGTTGTTACTTCAGGTGCCAAAAATAATTTTCAGTTTCTCTGTTAAAATTAAATGTGTATTCAGTTTAATATTTTAAGTTAAATATTCAGTAAGATTAGTAAAAAAATCATAAACTTGAGGTATTTAAAATACATCACAATTCTTAACTATTTTTTATAGTTTTCAGATGGTATACATGCTTTTTATTATTTAAAGAGTTAGGAATGGAACTTTAACGTTACAAATATTCCTATCACAGCCAAAAGTGCAAAATTATAATTTTAATTGACATCTCTTTAAGAGATGAAATTGCATAATTTTTATAAGGTATGCCAAACATAGTAACAACAAGTCTCACAATGGAGACGTTACTGGGCCCACTCGAGCAACTCGATGCACAACGGGAGGACAGTGCTGCAGTGCTACTTCAGAATAAGTGGAAACTATCAGAGAATGTGTGTGTATGTGTCTGTGTGTGTGTCTGTGTGTGTGTGTGTATATGTGTATGTATATGTATCTATGTGTACTTTCTTACAAAGGCAACAAAATGGATGCCCGGGTTAGTATAGCTACTGAAGTTGAAAACAGCAGCATTTCTTAAACTAAAACCTCAGGTACATTCTTCGGACCCTTGAGCTCTTGATAAGAATTTTATTCTTTTCATTATGTGTCTTTATTTTACCTAAAACTCTTTTGAATGTGAAGGCATATTCTGGATTACTAGAATTCTGGAGTGAGCACTTTACTGCAATTTTAGTTTCCACCAATGTATCTGAATTTATGACTGGGCAGCACCATAGCTCTTGCGTTAATGTCCAGAGCGAATGAGAGAAGAACAAAGAGCCTCGTTAATCCTTCATCCTAAGAGAAGGCTCAATGATGACCCAGTGCTCTGTATAGAGAAACGTTTTACAGCTTAGTTGAACATACCAGAGTAATAGGAGAACCAGCACCATGAAGAATGTGTTGGTTAAGGCCTGTCAGATGCCCAGCGTTCTGTGCCACGAGCCAGTACGATGTTCCTGTTTCAAGGGGTGATTGAATTTAGGACTATAACATCACCCATCACATCACATAGTGTTTTTTAAGTTTAATGTTATTTTGTAGTTCTTCTTGTATCTTTTTTGTGACTTCTCCGGTTTATGATTATGTAAGAGGTCTGAGTATCATGAGTTTATAGTTACTTTTTCATATGCCTAAGTGATAATCAGAAAAGCTGAAATTAATCCTGAGCCAACTTGAGATCCTTTTCTTCTAAAAAGAGTCTTACATTGAGAGACACTGTGACATTATTTTTAATATAGTTACGGTGAAAAATTTGTTTCTGTAAAACTTTTAGTATTCTCTATATTTTCTTGTGCTGACAGTGTTGCTAAGTTTTGCACAGTATACTAATATGAAAAGTTCTCGTTCCTTGGACCTCTGACCTTTAAAATTTTTTTCCTTTTTAGTCTTCTTAAATTTTCCCTCATTAATCTGCAATTGGCACCATCCACAATAGCTTTTTTCTGTTGTGTTGTCATGGTAACAGATGCATCTCGAGCACTTCCAGAGTTTGGAGAAGTTGAAATCTCTTCTCTGCCAGATGGTACTACCTTTGAGGATATCAAGTCACTGCAGAGTCTTTATCGAGAGCACTGTGAGGTAAGTATTTTCAAACAAAGTATAAACACATGCTAAGATTTGCCAGACAACTTGCTAAAACAAAATAAACTTCTTCTTAGAAGACAGATTACTTTTCTAATTTCTATGAGCACTTACAATAAGTTAATTTCTCTTTTCTGTGTCACAGTGGAGAAATGAGAGATACAGGAAAGGGAAAATAAAGTTTACGTTCCATCTTTTTTTATCTATCCTAGTGTGATTTTGTTGTTGTTGTTGATCTTTTTGGGTCACACCCGGCAATGCTCAGGGATTACTCCTGGCTCTGTACTCAGGAATTAGTCCTGGCAGTGCTCGGGGAACCATATGGAGTGCTAGAGATCTAACCCGGCTTGTCCCACGTGCAAAGTCATCGCCCTTCCCATTGTACTTCACTCCAGCCCCTAGTGTGAATATTTTGATGCAGCAATTCAAATCAATTCTAGGTCGTTATCCTGGGTAAAACAATAAATACAAAATGAAATATGCAAAAAAGAGTTATGAATTTAGATCTGTATTGAAGTTTATGAATTTAGTATCTAGTATCTTTATAGATTCTAAATTCATGAAGGTTAGAGTATTTTGTAATACTATAAAGGAACTGATGAAACTATAGTGTTTTATAGAAAATAGTATGCAGCCATTTCAAAGAACAGCCATCCTTAAATAGGCGAGTACATAACCAGCTTCAGAATTTATTTGTAAAGGAAAATGGAGGAACAAAGCAAGTGTCTGTAGCGTAGTATCTTATTTGTTCAGAAGAAATAATAAGAAAATACCAACGGTTTTCATTGCCTCTCTGAAGAAAACTTGGTCATTGGGAGTGAGTGAAAAGAGAGAACAGTTCGATATCTCCCTTTTATCTCCTAAAGATTGCACCTTTACTGTGTATTTATATAAAAAAAATTCAGCCGAAGAGTACAGTCACTAGAGTATTTACCTTGTGTTGGTTCAATCCCTGGCACCATTTATGGTTCCATGAGCCCCCGCAGAAGTAATCTCTGAGTGCAGACCCAGGAGTATGCCCTGGGAACAACCAGATGAGGCCGTAGAACTGCACTATAAATACATTTTTAAATACAAATGTTGAACAAAGCATTTTATGGGTTCTTTCTAGACTTCCTTAAGACTCTAGCCTTTTTTGATCGTGTGATTAGTGTTTCTCTGGACAAGTTCTCTCCCCACTCCTATTTCCTTTCTGCGGATCATTCATTCAAATTAGCTACACATTGTCTCCAAGAATCGAACTCAGTCAAGGCCAATAAGTTAATATATGTGTTGCTCACCTGATAGAAGAAGGATAAGGGATGCAGCAAGAATTTTCTTAAGTGTCTCTCCTTCTGAGAGAAGAGTCCTTATGGAATTTAAGTAGTGTTATTCAGGTACTGTTTGTGATGTGCTTGGTGGTAAAAGATAATCCTTTGGATTTCCTGGCCAATCACCCTGACTGCTGACAATGCAGTGTGCAGTGAGAAATCTCAGCTCATAGCATTCACAGATTTTTTTTTCCCACTTTAGAATAAGACCTGCTTTAGTGAATCTGAGTGCTTGTCAAGGGTGCTAGATTATTAATAACCAAGAACAAGTTATCTTTTTATTAACAAAGCTCATGCCAGAAGTATTCTTCAGCATATCTTGTCCATTTATTCTCAACATTTTTATGATGATGAAAGATACTTAATGCTCATTTCTCATTGACAACTGTGCATCTCTCAATATTTGATAATTCTTGGGTAATCTTTATATTTCTCTGTAAATCTCATATGTTAAAGAATATATAAAATTCTCATTCATTTTTTCACTACTCTGTTCAGATGAACGTTGCTTTAATCATACCACCCTACAGACAGATAATTTGTATTTTTCAAGATTCTCAATCAGAATATAATTTGGATTTTAGTTGTTTACATTATTGAACAATGTACGGTATGATTTATCTACTTGAAAACTCTCCCCAAATTTTTGTTGGCACTTGGCAGAATGATCCCCATTGAATTCAGAGTGACCAGAATTCCTGTCCTCTCCCTTGGTGCAATAGCATATATTAAAAAAGAAAATTGTTTTTTTTTCTTTCAAACTTCCCCCCCAAATTGGAGAGGTACCCAGCGATTCTTAAGGGTTACTCTTGGCATTGCACTCAGGAATTACTCCTGGCAGTGCTCAGGGGACCCTCTGGGATGCCAAGGATCAAACCATGTCAGCTACATACAAGGCTAGCGCCCTACCCACTGTACTATTTCTTCAATCCCTAAACTTCCAAATTTTTGAAGTACAGGTGTCTGAATCTCATATCCAGACCTGTAGAGTGATTTGTCCTAAACCAACAGAATATGTATTATTTTGAAATACATTTACCCATATATTTTAATGTGAACTTCTTTTGAAGTGGGTGTACAAACAATAAAATGTTTTATTCACCTATTAAACTATCTCAAATCAGGGCCTAAAAATCATTTGAGGTCATTTTATTTAAATTGATTCCGCATCTTGGATGCCTCAAAGTCTTTTATTTGCCATATTTCACTTTACATTTCATATTGGTATCTGTTTTCAAGGAAAATTGATATACTATTTTTTATAGTTTATAATTCTCACAACTTGATTATAACAGTTGTAAGTGTCATGAGTTATATCAGGAAAAAAGCCTGAGCCTGTTCTATAAAATGAGAATCTAGGTTTTAGTTTGTTTCTCTGTTTACTGCCACCCCCAAAAGTACCTCAGTGTAGTGCTTGGGGGTTGTTTCCAGTGGTGTTCAAAGCATCATGCTGTGCCAGAGCTTGGTCCCAGGTCTCGCCCAGGCAAATCATACATTCCAACCCCTTGAAGCATCTCTCCAGCCTGGTATTCCTCTTTTAATGTATGCATAATATTCCTAAAGCCAACCCAGAGATGCAGTATAAAAAGGTAGGGCATTTGTCTTCCATTCAGCCAACTCGTTTGATCCTTGGTGCCCCATATGTTCCCCTGAGCCCTGTCTAGTGTTGACGCCCCCAAATATTATTACAGTGTTATAGAAGGTATTAATAACTGTTTCATATCTTAGAAATGTCTCTTAGAATACACCGTAGTCATAGCTGAGAAAGTCCGTATCCTTTGCTCCTTGAGACGATTTTGGATTTTGCTTCGGAGGAAGAACATCTCTATGCATTTGACTTAGTGCTTGCACACTGCTTTTTCGCCCCTGATGTTAAAGAACGAGGGGTGTGTTAATTAACTCGTTTCCTTATTCCATTTTTATGGTCATACTACTTGCACTATTTCTTCTGGTTCCCAGAAAGGCCCCTCAAGAGGATTTAGCTGACTATTTGATTTGATCTGAGGGTTTTGCATAGCAGCTCAAGTTTCTCTGTACCATGCATCTGGCCATATCGACATAGGTAGCACACACTCTGTAGAGTTTTTTTTTCTTTTTTGACTGAAATACTTCAGATGACTCTCAATTGCCCGTTGTCTTTTAGCGCTTGTGAATTTTGCAGATCTTGACAAGGGCTGTTTTATACCTGTCCTCATTCTTAATGCTGACACATTTTTACTGACTGCTTCTTTCTTTTATGCTCAAAATAATCTCAGAATCACATATTCTTTGCACAAACAAGTTATTCTTTGATTTTTCTGACTGCCTTTTTATTTGAAGGCTAATTTACAAACTAATTGCGATGACAGAGTGAAATTAAATATGATCATCAAAAGTTAATGAAAGTAGCAAATTTTAGCACGATCCAAAAAAAAAAAGTCCTTGATACAGCTGGCAAATGTTTCTGAGAGAGAAAAATTATGGAGGAGGTGAACCCTATGCCCCCAAAGTTAGTAATAGGGATAGTTTTGAAGCTGCTCTCTGAAGTGGATGAGCGGAGATGGGAGTGAAAGGATGTTCTTGTCAGACCAACAAGAGGTAGATGCTTGTGCCCTTGTGTCCGTAGCCATTTGCTGTCCTCTGAAAGCCAACCTGACTGTAGTTTGTGCCCTCACCTTTGCTTCCTGGGAACACTCCCAAACCCAGGTCAGCAGCCTTAGGGCTAACGCAGCTTAACTCCCAACTGACACAAGCACCTCCATGGCCTTCACTGTTGCCCTCTTGGATAGCCAGTGGACATATGAGGCCCAGCAGTGACTTGATGTGATGGAATCTGTATTCCCTACCCTTTTGCGTCTGAGAATAGGAAGATGGGTACCACAAAGGTAGGAGGAAGTAGAGTATACAAGAATGGAAGAAAAGAAAAGAAGAAAATGGAGGGAAAGGAAGCAAGCAGGAAAAAAAAACAGATCAGAAATGAAAATGAAGGTGGGAGATAAGGCCTTTAAGGGAGAAATATTAATTATTCTGCTTAATTCTTCAAGAGTCGTTTTCTTCTCCTTTTTCCGAACTAATCTTTTTTGTTTCCCTATTTCATGAGACGAAATATGATCTCGTGTTTCCAAGATTATTTAAAGTGTCTTTCAATTCAGTTTTAGTTCCATTACATTATGCTTTCTTCACACATCTCAAGTGGGAATACTGTTGGAAGGTGATACTAATTAGAACTTTACTTTTTAGGCAATATTGGACGTTGTTGTGAATCTTCAGTTTAGCCTAATAGAAAAATTATGGCAAACTTTCTGGCGCTATTCTCCCTCTACTCCAACTGACGGCACTACCATGACTGAATCAAGGTCAGAATCAATATGCTTTTCAGTCCATGTTCATGGTTGAATAGATGTCACAGCTAATGAATTGGAGATATGTATACCAGTTGTGAACCTTACCCGATGACATGAAATGAATAGAGTGAAATAAACCACAAACTGCTCTCTTGAGGATTCAGTGTGTATATTATAGCTCCCATATTTATTGATTTCGGGGGCTGCGGTAGAGCTATTTCATCCTCATGGAATTACTGTCATATCTGCCTTTCATGCCGTCAGAAGGTATTAATGTGCACAGGCAGCTCTGGGGGAGTATTTTATGTGTCCGGCCGTACGGCACCAGTGCAATGGTGGTATAGTTCTAACCTCAGTAATATTTGATGAACTAAAACTATTTTTAAAAGTCCATTTTCTTTTTTTATCCTCATTTGCCATCTATTCATTTGCTACATTTATTCACACCAGCAATCTGAGTGAAATAGAAAGTCGACTTCCGAAAGCAAAGCTGATAACTCTGTGCAAACATGAGTCTATCCTGAAATGGATGTGTAACTGTGACCATGGGATGTACCAGGCTTTGGTGGAGATTCTCATCCCCGACGTCCTTAGACCTATTCCTAGTAAGTTAAATGCAGACAAATACGGATGCTTTTTGTTCTCGTACATTCCACCCAGGAAGTTTGGGGAAGTGACATTGCAATCTAGAGTGATTCTGATCTCATTTAAATTTACCAGATAGGAAACATGCAACACAGCATTGCATGACAGCAGCCTAGAGCAAAACTGCAGTAAAAGAGGAATGCTTATGTCCAAGTTTTCACTTTATTTTTGATAAGAAAAGTGAGCTCATGGGTGTGACAACCCCAGTGACTAATTGCCAGAATATTTCTAGGCCATTTAGACAGTATTTTCCTCAAGGACACGATTTTTTTTTTTCGTAAAGTCAAAAACTTTTGAAATCTGTAATTGCGAGGCCTGCCTCTTTCATGGTTGCTTTTGATTTGAAATGAATGTGTCTTGGATTCCACTGACGTTGAATTCCTTTATAAAAGCATTTATTTTGTCACCCACATCAGGTTAAAAACTACAAATGCAGTTTCCATTAGCAGTAATGGTTAGCTGGCATTTTGAGAGAAAAATCTATGTAACTTCACAAGCATTGTATTCCCACCACGAAGCAAATAGAAATTATACAGATAAGTTAGATTACTTTTTGAAGTGATGATGCTTTTAAAACTACCTGGGAGCAAAGAAGCTATTTTCTGCAAGTTTCAATATAAATGCTTCTAAGGATGCTTATGTTAGAGGCAGCTGAAGTGATGTGATGCCGAAATTTTCATGATCGTATTCTAGTGACCTTAACTTTTTCAGAAATAGGATAGGAGTTCCATTCTACAATGACACTAATAAAGTAAAAGCAGTATTTTTGCTTGTGAAATTGGCAACCACTTATGTCAGGTACACTATTCACAGTTTACTAATGTTAAATAGTCGAGAAAACATTTAAGAATTTAGTAGAAGAAAAGTTGAAAATACTCACATTTGTATGTCTTTATTTTCTCTAAATATGACAAACAAGAAAAGACATGAGTTCTTTAATGTGGCTACCTCAACCTAAAATATATTTCTAAGAAATGCATGCTCATATAATATGCATAAGTTTGTGTAGGGATTGATTTTTTTTAATCTAGCTGCCATGATCTCATTTTTGTTGTTGTTTTCTACTCTATCTGCACCATATTTTCTAACTAAAGATTGATTTTTAATGATGTTGTCATGGAAAATTTTGATGTATAAATTCTCTACTGATTTGTATTCTTGAATCTGACTTTTCTTGTTATTGTCTTGCTCCCTGTGCTCTGAATGATAATCTCCAGAGATATTTAATAGACGTTGCATAGGGCAACTCATTAGCCTATAACATTTTACCACTGACATACAATTTCTCTAATGAGATACAGGCAAAGATGTTATTGAACACTTTAATTTCTAAGGCAAGCCAACAATATCAATAATTCTTAATTCAAAAATATTTCGCTTCTATGCTAACATCATACAATTTTACTCTTGCAAGTTCAATAGTTACCTAACTGTCACTTCAGTTTTATTTAACTTAAGCCCCATGGATTAAGTACATACACATAACCTTTTTGCAACTTTTGACTTAAAAATCAACCTATTCTAGCATGGAGTTTGTCTCACATTCAGCAGACACTTCTTCCTTTCGTGTGAATATAGCTTTTTTGCTTCTCTGAAATTATAAGATGTAGCCGTGTGCTATCCTGCCATGTAATTTGGACATTTAATTCCCATTCTACAATAAGACCTAACAAAAATCAAGTTTAAAATGCAGTTTTGTTAACTGTCTTCTGATTGTATGCATTTTACTATTAATCACGAGCACATTATGACAAGTTAGCTTTGGAATAGTTTTAAATTTCAAACCATCCATTCATAAGAAAAAGTTCCCAGAGACAATCTGCACAATTTGATCTGACATGAATCCTTATAGAGAGAGAAAACTTAATTTTATTTCTTAAAAAAAAATTTTTTTCTGGTACTAGTCCTTCACTCACCATTTACTATCCAGATGGGATTCCTTTTTTAGCCCCCCAAAAAGTCTGCACATCACACTAATTTAAAGTCAGCTTGAAGCTACTATATTCTAAACTACACATATCTGAATTTTTTTAAATTCAGTGTAACGAATTGTATAAGAAATCAGTCATTGGTAACAATTATGAGCTTTATTTAAGGTGGCCCAAATCCAAAATGTCTTTTATCACCCCCACCCTCAAAAAAAGACAGGGAACAAGATGTAACTACTATTATGAAAGATATACTTTTATTTTCAAACCTAGTTTCAAATTCATCTAGATAGGACTCCTGCTAATTTGTTGTTAAATGCAGCTTTTTCTGGTGTTTGTTTTTCCATATTAAATACATGTCATGTATTTGTTGTAAAAATATGCATAATACAGAAAGCCAAACTGAATCTGTAACAATATTTTACTGAGTTTTTAAAAGGAACGTTAATTTTTTTTCACTTTTTTCATTTCCATTCATGCCTGTCCTCCATGGTTCTAGTACATAATATAAAAGGAAACTATTTCACTTTCTTTTTTTGTTTTTTTGCTGAAGTGCAAAGTTTTGGAAATTTCAAATTATTAGTACTCAAGAGATTTCTGTTTGGCATTTCCATGTGTTTCAAAGAGATGCTCTTGTGCTTGAAAGTCTGCATTTCTTGAGTGTTTTTCCTAATCCAAAGTTGGCCATTTCAGTTCCTAATGTCATTTGACTACATTAATAGACTTTATAAAATTAGTTTTATCATTGAATTAGTAAAGTTGATATATTTTGCCAAGTTACTTGAGTTAACTGAATTATTTCTCACCCTACTTTAAAAAAAAAAAAGTAATAGAGAAGCATGCCAGACTCAGTTGAACACAGGAAGAAACACCAAAGACTTGAATCCCCTCAGTAACCTTAATATTCTTGGGAGACTTGGATAAAAGATACAGATTTTCTTTTGTTATATAATAGAATAAAATTTTAATGCATACCAACATAATAGAGATTAATTTTATGTTATGGAAACCTCAGCATGTACTTATTCAGTATCTAAAACAGCTTACTATACTTGTGGGTCTTGGGCACAATTGAAGTAAAAGACTTTGGCTAGATTACTTGATTAAGAGAATAATTTTGTTTATTACACAACAGTCTCGGTTAACACGTGCCTTCTTGTAAAACGCCATAGTCATTCCTGATAGCTAACAATGCTTCTAATCATCCTGTGACAACCATAGAAGATGTTCTCATGGGTCTTATCCCTATTTCAGGGTTTTTTTTTAATTTTTATTGGGGGAGGGGGCGCACCCAGCAGTGCTTAGAGGTCACTCCTGCCTCTGCACTCAGGGAGCTCAGGGAATAATACTGGATGCTGGGGATCAAACCAAGATTATGCCAGGGATCGAACCTAGGTTGGCCGCAGGCAAGGCAAGTGCCCTACCCACTATACTATCTTTCCATTGTCAGCTATTTCAGGTCTTACTAGATATGTAAGGATACATAATGAACTAATTTTGAATAGCAGTCTTGTCATATTGATATATTATCTCTGCGTGGCAAGCGTGTCAGAGAATAGTTATTCAGAATTTTCAGATCAGGCAATTTTAATTTTTACCTTACTTTCCAACAAGAGTGAGAGATAATTAGTCTAATTGATATGTTCTAGTATAAATAGATGCAGAGAGAGAGAAGCTTTGCATTTTCATTTTAACTAAAGAAATGAAAATAGATTTAAAAACTTGACAAATCAGAATGAAGAATTTTTAAAGGCAATACTTAGCTTTTGAACACCAAGCAATTAATGAAAACAGTGTTTGTCTCAGATAGAAAATTCCATAACTATTTTCACAACTGGTATATGTTGCTATAAGCAAAATTATCGTGCTTGAATGCTTTCACAGTTAGGAATATTATTAAAGTTTTGTAATAATGACAATATAAGTTCTGTGCTATTTCAAATTTTGTGTACATCTGTTTTCCCTCATTCTGGCATGAGGATTAATGTTCTTTGGTATCTTTTTTCTTCTGCTTTTATTTTTTAACATTTAGGTGCCTTGACCCAAGCCATTCGAAATTTTGCAAAAAGCCTTGAAGGTTGGCTCTCCAATGCCATGAACAATATTCCACAGAGAATGATACAAACCAAGGTACACCTTAAGGTCTTAAGTTTTTCTTTATGTTTAGGAAAAGGTTCTTAACAAGGAAATTTGTATCTTCCCTATCAGATTGTAGTGTGCCCCATGCTGATATAATATTTATATAGAATATTCTAGAACTAATATTTATATTTGTAACTTGTAGTCATGAAGTTCCTAGATAAAGAACTTACGTGAGACATTTGATAAGGCTTCTTTTTTAAGAGACAAGAGAAGCATTTTAAACATAGTATATTGACAAGATCTTTCCTAAAGTATATATTCAGTATTATTTAACTTCATATATACTAAAAATGTTGATGGTTCTTATATGAAAAAGAAAAAGTCTGGATTTTCTGTTGTGGGAGCCATCTCCGTTAGTGCTTGGGGAAGCCTCTAGGGTCACACTTAGCAGTGCTCTTGGAGCCTCTGTGGTGCCAAGTAGTTGAACGCATCAAGGGATGTACTCAGAACATTTCAGCCCATCCTCAACCCAAGTTTTATATTTTTTTTAAATCCCGTATACACTTACTATGCACTGAAAAGCTCATATAAATACAAATTAATACTTTTGATTTTCAGAGTGCTTATTTAATCTAATGATTCTGTGAAACGTTTCTCAACCAGTGACCATAGAGTGCTTTTTAGTACTTTAGAATATTCCAGAGTCGGCACAGGTGAAAATCCTGTAAATTAATGGAGGTCATGGCGTGACACTAGGAATCCAGATGGTAGCGGAGGAGGGAGCGGGCATAGGAAAGAAACAATTTGGAAGAGGGCCACAGTCAGGAAAAGGTTGAGAGTCATTGCTTTTGTAAATCAAGTGATCATTTCTTCAAGTGCACACTTTTCTCATAATTGGTCATTATTTAGCTAGAGATATGAATTCAGTCTTCAATTTTATCTCCTTCTGTCTCCCTTTTTATAGCTTTTGGGAATTTGGTCCATGGCAAGGTTGGACTAATCCTATATTAGCATAAAAGTCCTATTTGTGACTTTTTATCAGTCATTATTTTTGGAGTCTTAGTTACTTATCTCTGATTAGTAATTAGATCCTGATAATATATTACTAATCTGTGATTAGTAATTTAGGCTCCAGTAATAAGCTTGGGCTTTTGTTTTGGAGGCATATTTGATAGATTAAAACATTTAAAGTAACAGGTCAGTGGAATCACAGGTCACTCCCAATTCTTTCAAGCTGCTTGGCTTAAGATTTGTAGTAATACTTTTTCTCTCTAAAATACTGTCTCCAAAATACATGGGAGGAAACATTTCATTGATACACTCCCTTTAGACTCTTGCCTTAGAGCCATGTTGTTGATGCAGTAAAGCTAGCGCTGCATTTGACTCTTTATTTACCATGAGAACACAATGGAATTAAGCAGTTAATTCCTCGGTCATCTCATATAACTCAAGTTGCCATTGCTGCCATCATCAGGCAACACACACGCAAAGCATTTCCATCATTGAACAAACTTGTTCGTGGTGGATCTGTTCTAGGTTACCACATAGAGCTGAGCAGTAAAAGGAGGAGATACTTGATTATGATGAGGAGAGCATGCATTCCAACTTGCAGTCACTTTTAGTCATAACAGCTTCCAACAGCTGGCGATACCCCCTTCTCAGTGTCATCAAAGTAGATGTGGCAGTAATCCAGCTACAATGACTGCCATTTCCTTGGTCACCAGAGTTGACCTGGATGCTTTGCCGTAGTGAGTGATGTCCTCTGTTATTCCTCATCACGGGTTTGCTGCCTTTTTTCAACTGAATGCTTATTAAATGAAGATGTCTGTCTTAGGAAACAGCATAATTATGTTATGACTCTAGGTATTGATATCAAAACGCGTGGGTTTATATACTAATTATGTGGACTATCCTTCAAATATTTTTTCTAGCATTGAATAAGCTGTGTACATCCGTAAGTCATAATGCACCTCTACTACTTAGTTGATAATCAGTTGTTTCTTACCTTTAGCGATAACGATGACATGTCATACATTCCTACAAATATAAATGTTTCTCAGGTCTAAGTATTTAAAATATTCTCATGAGCTCATGAGAGAAATTTATCTAGCATTTTAATTGGGTTGAGGGCATTATCTTTGTTTTTGTTTTTGTTTTGTTTTTTTTTTTTAACATCATCTGGTTCATTCAGAGCCCATCCAAGGAGAATTTGAAGAGAGTTTAAGAAATTGAAGAGAGTGTATGAAAGATCTGCTTCCCAAAATGTTAACAGAAATAAGAAAGCCAGGGAGGAATGGTGAAGCACTCCAAGACTAGCAATAGTGGGAATTTTGGACCAACCTGGTACATGAAGGGGAAACAGATGAAAGCTCTGGTGATAGCAGATCCACTCCTGTTCATGTGACTGGGGCCTTAGAAAGCCTAGAAAGAAAAAAAGCTCTTCCAAGACCAAGAGAGAGAGCAGTGACTAAAGGGAAAGAAAGGCAGGCCTCAGCCAACCTTTTTTTTTATATACTTTAGTCTGAAAGTACCTGTCATTCACCAAACCCAACTGAAAGCCATTGATGGCATCAGAAAGCGTGCCAGTATACCTATTCAGACCTATAGCATATGGCGAAAAGGAAAGGACAGAAAGTAGAATTTGAAAATAGAAAAGAGGTTAGAAAAAAGGGTGAATGAAGATTTCATGAAATTTCTCAGAAGAGCTTGTTGCTTGTGTCTGACGAGTACATTAGGTATACGTTTTCAAATAATAGCTTTGAACACTTTCCTTAGATATCCATAAAGTCAGGTATTTAAAACTAAAAGGCAGTGAAATAAAAATAAGGTATATAGAGTGAATCGGAATGACAGTTTTCTGAAGATTAGTAATGGTGATTTTTCTTTAATATAAAGTATCGGACTGCATAGTTTGGTTTCCTATTGAAAAAGAGGGGAAAAAATGTTTTTGCCTAATTTGTAGTTAACTATCCTACAGAGAATATAAGAGAGATGAAAATCAATGTTTCTCTTACTTCCCTAGACAAGATCATTTCTTGCTCTAGATGAGTGGTTGCTTGCAAGATTGGTTTAATTAATTCTGCACTCAGGTGTCAAGAATGTGGGTGTTTGCTTTAGTCCTGACCGAGACCTTTTCAAAAGGAAAAATAATACTTGGTTTAGAGATTTAAATGCTACAATTTACGAGTCCACTCCCACACCAATTGAAATAACTTTCAGAGGGGAAAGCATTTAAAATGTAGCAAAGGAAAACAATCGGGAGCTTTCAATGGTCTCTTCAACTGAAGGGTGCGGGTATCCCGAATTAAGTGGCTTTCTTCACAGGTTGCCGCTGTAAGTGCCTTTGCCCAGACTCTGCGAAGATACACGTCGCTCAATCACCTGGCCCAGGCGGCTCGTGCAGTGCTTCAGAACACTTCTCAGATCAACCAGATGCTCAATGATCTCAACCGTGTTGACTTTGCCAACGTCCAGGTACTTTTTTTTTTTCCAGAAAGAAAATTTTTTAATGAGATCCAGTTTTTTGGTTTTTTTTTTTTAAGACCTAGGACTTATTTTCATCACTACATGGGGCAGCTTTTGTGTTTACAGTTTCCAGATAGAGGAAAGTTTATTCTTATTAAACACTGCTTCTCCGCTTTATGGTTAAAGCCTGTTAAGATTTATAGTAGTGGACAGCAATGTAGTATGTCACCAGAATTTACTAGTTAATGGAGTGAAGGCAGTCACAGTCACTGAAATTAGCCAAGAGATTAAATTCATCCATCTAGCTGTTGCACCTTGATCAAGTTGCCGTATAGTATCTATTTTAAATTATTGCTTACATCTTGAGTAAAGACATTTGCACCATGACGAACCCAGAGATTTTGTTTTTAAAAGTCCCTTCCCCACCTACCTCATGAGCTGGGGGAGAAGGCCGTTGGAATAGAAAAAGTATTACTGAGTCAATGATGATTGGAGGGATCATTCGGGATGGAAGATGTGTGCTGAAAGTGGATAAAGGACCAAACGCGATGGCCTCTCAGTATCTGTATTGCAAACCGTAATGCCCAAAAGTGGAGAGAGACTCTGGGGGAAATTGTCTGCTAGAGAGGTAGGAGGAGGGTTGGGAATGAAGACGGGGGGAAGGGTCTGGGAACATTTGTGGTGGAAAATGCATACTGTTGGAGCGATCATTGTATGACTGAAACTCAAACATGAAAGCTTTGTAACTGTATCTCACAGTGATTCCATTAAAAAAAGTCTCTTCCCAGCCTTGCTTGAAACTACTAAGAACAAAGCAGCTCTAGTTTAGAATTTACTATACATAGTCCAGACAAACTTGGTCATTGGAAAATAATTAGGAGGTTAGAGAGAGAGTTCTATGGGTTGAACACTATCTGGTAGCACTGTCCTCCCGTTGTTCATTGATTTGCTCGAGCAGGCACCAGTAACGTCTCCATTTTGAGACTTGTTACTGTGTTTGACATATGGAATCCTCCATGGGGAGCTTGCCGGGCTCTGCTGTTCAGGCGCGATACTCTTGGTAGCTTGCCAGGCTCTCCGAAAGGAATGGAAGGATCAAACCCGGGTCGGCTGCTTGCAAGGCAAATGCTGGAGGCCCAAATTTCATCCTTAGCACCACATGGTCTCCTGAACACTGCAGAGAACCAGCCCACACTTGGTGTGACCTTCTCCCATAAATAAAAGAATTAGGGATAATGTGCTTAACAATTTTGATAGCTCAAATGAAAAGGAATATTTTTATCCTTATGGTAACTAAGGGCTGGAACAATAGCACAGTGGGTAGGGCACTCGCCTTGCATGCAGCCAACCTGGCCAACCTAGGTTCAATTCCTCCGCCCCTCTTGGAGAGCCCGGCAAGCTACCGAGAGTATCTTGCCCGCACAGCAAAGCCTGGCAAGCTCCCCATGGCGTATTCGATATGCCAAACACAGTAACAAGTGTCACAATGGAGATGTTATTGGACCCACTCGAGCAAATTGATGAACAACGGGAGAATAGTGACAGTGACATCGTAACTAAAAAAGTAAATTTTTGAATAGCTAATTTAGAAAAATTATGGAATCCCTGCAGATATTTTATTTTAGATGCTAAAACATAAGACTAATTTTTACTATACAAGAACAGTATCATTATTCACCCAGAACATAATCAATGAAAGGAAAACTACGAAATCAGAATCAAAATTTAGAGCTTTTATGCTTCAAAAAGATCACCTAGAAAATGAAATCACTACGCACTCCTAGAATTGAGAGTACTTATAAATTATATATCTGATTAAGAAGTTGTATACAGATTACTTAAAGAACCATTACGGCCCAATAATTTAAGAAACAACCCAATTAAGGAATTACATATATGAATAGACAGTTCTCCCAAGAAGATACATAAATGCCCATTAAGCACCTGAAAAGATGCTCAGACTTCATTAGCCTCCGGGGAAATGCAAATCAAAGCCACAGTGAGATACCACTTCATCTACACTAAAAGGTATAATCAAGGTAACAGATAATAACACGCGTGATGAGGATGTGGGGAAATTGGGACCCTCAGACTCTGCTTGCTAATTGGAGTAAAATGCTGTAGCCACGAGGGAGAACAGCCTAGCATTTTCCTCAAAAGGTTAAAATTTGAGTTGTATGACTCAGCAACTTCACTACTAGAAATATTCCAGACGAAGTCACAGGTGCTTAAAAAAGTTTAGATGTATGTTCATATCAGTCTCTTCACCTGAACTGCATGAAAGTGAAAATTCATCAGTAACTATCCAGTAACTGATGAATATATACACAAAATGTGGTATGACCACCGGATGGAACACTGCTTCACACCAAAAAGAAATGTTGTTTGATACCTGCTGCCGCCTGGGTGAACTTTGAAAACCTAAATGAAACAAGTCAGGTGCCAAGAATCACATGGGGTTCATGATTACATTTGGATGAAGATGTGCAGCAAAGGAAAACCTACGAACGCATAAAGTAGATTAGTGTTTGTAAAGTTCGAAGAGATTGGGGAATTGGAAGGTGACAGGAAAGGGACGTCTACAGGCTCCTCGTGGAGAAAATGAAATCAGATGTTTCCAAATTTATTGTGACGTGAATGTAAAACTGAATATACCAAGAGAAACTGTATAGTTAGAGTAAATTATAATGCTGTGATTTACATCACATTAAAATATTTTAAACAGCATGAATTCTTAAAAAAATAAACTTTTCATCATTCCATGTCCTTGATATCTCAATCTGCAGCCCTACTTTGGTTTAATCACCAAATATATCAAAATATAATATTGGACCTCAGTTCATTTTAGGAGACTCTAAATTAGTTGTTTATTCTGACTTACTGATTAGGTTCAAGCAACTAATATCTATAAATTTTAAAAAATCTTTTTATAAATTAATACACAAATACATGTATAATCACAAATGCCAAAAACATCACCTTTCCATATTTCCATGGAGTTTACATTAATTCTAGTGAGAATAGTAAAAGTTCATTTGGCCTTCAAATTTATACATTTTTTTCAAATATTTATTTCCTATCCTTATTTCAGATTTGAATGAGCCTTATTTTACTTGTTTGTTCAGACAACACTCGCCAGTGCTCAGCGCTTACTCCTAGGCTCTGCACTCAGGGATCCGTCCTGGCAGGGCTCAGGGACCATAAGGGATGACGGGGATCACACCCAGATAGCTTGTGAGCAAGCATTCTACCCTCTGCTTGCCCTCCGTAAGTCCCTGGGTGAGATGAACTTCAAATCAATCAAGTAAACATTTTTCAGAACAAAAACGTTTGAAAGTGCCTTAAGAAAAATAGGGATAATAAATTGGGGTTTTCAGTCGTAATTTAAGCTGAATAATATAAATGCATATAAAATGATTTCTGAAAGTATTTGAGATATATCTTAAATATTTTTACTCTATGTGTGTATTTCTTTTCTTTTTCTTTCGTAATGCTTAGGAATAGTTGACTGTTGGTGGGTTGGTTTGGGGGCCACACTCAGCTCTGCTCAGGCATTGCTCTTAGAGGTACTCGAGGGACTGTATGTAGTGCCAGGAGCCAGACGGATAACTGTATGCAAGGCAGGTGCCTTTCCAGCTTGCTCTCTCTCCATCTCCAACAATGCTAAGTATTTATGTCCACAGAGCATGTAGTGTACTGCTGAACCACACTCCTGATCCTTTGACTATTTTTAGATGCATGTTTGTCTATCTTCAGCTCTATAAAGTATGTCAATTAATGTATACCCATCCATGAGTTTATTCTCGGTATAAATGCCAACTTTGCTAATATCTTTGCATATTAGTGGTAATTTATGTATTTATTTTCTACTCATTCCATACCTACCAACGAGAAGGCTATTTTTTCCCCTCGTTTTATCTTGGCTATTTCCTGGACTCTGAAATGAACACAAAATTTCTGAGAATCACTTTGACAGCACAGATTGAAATCTACCTAGTTATTCTTAGATAATTTCATCGTATCAAAGACAAGACAGCAGGCCTGAGAGATAGTACATGGGTCAAGGCACTTGCAAATTGGCGGTCCCAATCCATTCGGCACCACATATGGCCCCTGAGCACTGCTCGAAGTGATTCCTGAGGACAGATCCAGGAGGAAGTCCTGAGTACCACTAGATACAGCCGCTGATCAAGGTGTGGTTCAGGCACCCCAGATGGTCCCTCAAGTCCCACCAGGTCTGATCCTTGAGCACAGAGCCAGCAGTAAACCCTGAGTACAGCCAGGAATGGCATAAAACACAAAATAAAATTGTCCATGCGAGTAATCATTATTTTGAGAATTTGAAAAAATTTGTGCCAGTGGAAGTTACATTTTAGAATTTAACATCGGAAGTGATCATTAAAGATATGGCATGCAAACTTATAGGATCATTAATTATGGCATTATTTCTAACAGAAAATAAATGGAATAAACACTAATTTCTAACTTGGACTTTATTATGTAAATAACCGTGTATTCATAACACTAAAGCGCATTCAACCATTGAGCAATAAAGAAAGCTCTACATTTGCTTACATGATAATTCAGTTAGCATGTGTAGTTAAACTAAATATACCATTAATTAGAAGGATAATGTGGTCCTCTTTCATTTTAAATATTGATATACAGTAAGTATTTAAAGGCATGTGAAGGGTAATTATGTTAGCTTGTAGTGGTTTACTCAGTGCTTGGATTTTAGATCTACTTCGAATTTTGTTATTTCTTAATGCATGAACAAAATGGTTAACGATTTTGTAAACACATTTCTAGTGTATTTTAAATACGTAAGAATGGTATTTAGAGGATGAAATCTTCAAGTATTTATGATTAAAAAGAGAAAAGAGAATGGATAGCATTTCAGCTGAGAATACAGGAGAAACTAGTTTCCCCAGGGAAATAAAATGAATTGAGTCTGTATATTGTACTTGAAGCGTCTTCTGTTTGAAATACTTCTTGAATAGGTAAAATCCATAGGATCAAGATGTACTGGTACTAGAGGCTAAGATTAAGGATTTATTCCACTGAAACAATAAATTTGGACCTCAGTATACAGGGTTTTTCTATTTGTTTTCTTTTGACCCATACCCACTGGCACTCATGGCACCATTGCTCCTAGAAGTGCAGAGTAAGGGGTGGAGAACCACGTGTAGCTAGGAATTAATCCTGGCTTCTTGCGTGCAAAGCAAGCCTTTGAGCTCTCTCTCTCTCTTAAAAGTAGGTGGTGGGAAATGGGCACTGGTGGAGGGATGGGTATTTGATCATTGTATAGTTGAAACCCAAGCACAAAATTACAACTTGTACCTCATGGTGTCTCGCTAATAAAAAAGTAGGTTTAAATTTTCCTGCCTTCATTGCTATTACCAAACATGAAACTTCTCAGTCAGAACCAGAAGGAATGCTATTGTAATTGAGTTTCTTGGCATCTACTAATCTACAGTTTCTCAATAGTATTATTTCTTGTTAGTTTTGTTTTTCAGTCCTATTAATTAAACTGTACTTATGTCCTTGCCTCGATAGCCCTTGAGATTTCAAGTTCCCAATACATAAATCTTGCATAGCAAATGCTTCCTCGTAATACTACTCAAGTCTGTTTCTGTTTTAATTCTGAGAGATTACTTTAGGCAAATTGAATCTATTTATCCATCTGACTTATTCCAAATCCTCTCAATGAATGGGCTTGAAAGTGTTGTCTGGTAGAAACATTGAGAACTGTTGAAGGAAGTACAAAATATAACAGAATGAAAGACCCTGTGTACCATAGGTCCAGGCTTTACTTTTCTGAAGTGATCATATATTTTAACATACTCATTAATACAGAAAAACCAGGTCAAGCTTCTATGTCAGTTTTTCATACTCAAAGGCAGTGTTACTTTCTTTATTAACTGTCAAGTGGTCATTCATTTTCTTAGTGTTTTATTGTTTATCCCTAAATTTCCTATTCCCTCGTACGTGTGGTTGGTGTGATCACGTGCAATGAAATGATGCTGAGTTGAGCTTTTCCTCTGCTTTCTGTGGACTGTGCCAGGAGCAGGCTTCCTGGGTGTGTCAGTGTGATGACAACATGGTTCAGAGACTAGAAACGGACTTCAAGATGACTCTTCAGCAGCAGAGCACCCTGGAGCAGTGGGCTGCGTGGCTTGACAACGTGATGATGCAAGCACTGAAACCCTACGAGGGAAGACCCAGTTTTCCGAAAGCTGCCAGGCAATTTCTGCTAAAATGGTCCTTCTACAGGTATCCTCTCAGTCTTTTCTAAAATTTGTTTTACATATTCTATTGGTGTTGGTGTTTGTAATTGTTTTACTTCGTTCAGTGCAACTCAGTGATCCCACTATGAAACCATACGATGACATTGAGAACAAAGTTTTTGTTAGAAAGAGAGATCCTCTTTGCTCAAAGCCTTTTTTTAAGGCTTTATCAGCAACTCTTTTTTTTTTCATTTCTCTAATTCACCGATTCTCAAACTGATGTCCAGACTAACAGCATGATTGTGACTTAGAAAGATATTAGGAATGTGTGCCCCTTCCCAAACTCTGCTGGAATCAGAAACTGTGGAGGTGATGCCAAGAAATCTCCACTTCTTAAAAAGTTATCCACGTTATTCTCAAGTGTGCTTAGAACCATTTGGATAATTGCCTAATTTGTTCAGAATTAATTTGCCTATCAGAATTAATTTGCAAGGGCTGGTTTTTTGGCCACACCTGGTGGTGCTCTAGGTCTGCTCTGCTCAGGGATCACTCCAGGCATTGCTCAGGAAGCCATTTATGCAGTGCCAGGGATAGAACCAGAGTCAACCACACACAGGATAAGCACCCTGTATTATCTCTCTAGTTCCCAGAGTTAACTTCTTAAATTTTTTTTTCCTTTTTGGCTCACACTCAGCAATGCACAGGGGTTACTCCTGGTTCTACACTCAGGAATTACTACTCCTGGCGGTGCTCAGAGGACCATATGGGATGCTGGGAATCGAACCCGGGTCAGCCGCATGCAAGGCAAACACCCTACCTGCTGTGCTATCCCTCCAGCCCCTTTTTAAATATTTCTAAGGCACTTCTCCAAACCCCATTGACTCAAAATCTTAGTGATTAGGAAATAGTAATTAGGAATATAAGTTTTATATATATATTTTTAAAGAGCTTAGTTCTGGAGCCCTAGAGATAGCACAGGGCTTAAGATATTTGCCTTGGGGATGGGGCTGACCCAGGTTTGATCCCCAGCACCACTGGGAGTGAGCCCTGAGCAATGCCAGATTTGCCCACAAAGCTAAATAAAGCAAAAAGACTTATTTCTGGTAATTCTAGTGAATAATCAATATTTAGTAGGCATCATTATTGTATCACTTTTTGATTAAAGTAATACAGTATTAAATGTATATTTGTCGGATGTAACAAAACCTCTGAAAAGCCCTTTAAGTTATATGTGAAAAAATTTATTGAGATGAGCTATTGACTAGAGGCCTACCCCAAGAGTTAAAAACTGTGTGAGTTGTCAGGCATACACTAATGCAGTTTTCATTCCTCAGTCTATGCTTATGCCTCAGATTTAAAAGCTCATACTTTTCTAAGCTGTCGATGTTTTATACCAAAAGGATGATTACAACTCTCCACGCCATTCATTCTGAAGGCCTGAACTCTGTGTCTTCAAGTCTTTTTAAAATGAAACTGATAATCAGGGAGAGATAGTGTAGGGGTTAAGATAAGGATCTTACATGTAGTCAACCCTGGTTCTAGCCCCAGTACTACTTGTTCCCCCTGAGTGTGGCTGGGCAGTGTGTGGCCTCACCAGGTGATGTGGCCCTGGCCTCTCAGAGTCTGAGCAGCACATCGTCCTCAGGTCCTTGCATTGAATCACCTGTCCAGTTGCTGAAGTTGCCTTCCAGGGTCCCTCAGCACTGCTTAGGAGTTGTGTCCCCCGCCCCCCGCCCCCCCCAAAAAATCTAATAATACTAATAATTATAATAGCATCTGCTAATACAAGTTCAGTATTATCCCCATCGCAAGAAAGAGATAAAGATAAACATTATAAATAAATTGTGTAGAACTGTGAAGTGGGGGCATACACACTCTGTGTCGATAGGCTTCACTGTTGTCATCAGAACATCAGTTGAATCTACAGCTTAGCTGGGAGGGGAGAATATAAATGAAGAAGTAACAGAGTTTAGGAAGTAGTAACCTGTGAATTCAGAAAACCCAAATTCTAGGATTTCTAGGATTTCCAACTTGTTTGACCATCGTTATAAGAATGGAGCCAGTTTTTGTTGTTGTTGTTGTTGAATGGTAATAGTTGCTTTGCTTTTTCTTATTAGTGAATTCTTTTTTTCTCAGAAGGTTTGGTCCCATTTTTATTTCTTAAACTGATGAAGAACTATAGATATACTATGTCCTGCAGATAATTTTCCTGTGTTTACTCCAAAGTCAACAGCAGTGAAAAAAAAAAGTTTTGTGTTGCTTTATTTTCCAATATTTCTGGAATGAAACATTTTCATAATTCTCTCTTACCTGTTTAATACCTTTGTTCTTAAAAGGTGCTGTCTTGGAGCTGGAGCAATAGCACAGAGGGTAGGGTATTTGCCTTTCATGCAGCCGACCCAGGTTCGATTCCCAGCATCCTATATGGTCCCCTGAGCACCGCCAGGGGTAATTCCTGAGTGCAGAGCCAGGAGTAACCCCTGTGCATCACAGGGTATGACCCAAAAAGCCCCCCCCAAAAAAATCTGTTTGCTCTGTGACCACCTAGTATGCTTCATTAAAGCCAGTATGAAGTTTGGATATGGCTATTAAATAGAAATCTATTGATGATAAATAATAAGGTTTCCTGCAATATGTGGGAAATATTTGAAAACGTGTTCTCAAAGTAGATACAGAAACAATAATAGTAATGGAATATCTTAAATTCTTAATGTGTGAGTATTTCTTTAGAAGATTTATAGATACTCGCCTTTGTTCCACCCCTTCAGAAAACCATAGAGATGAGATATATATTTCATGAATGATTGATGAAAAAGAGATACTAGCTTTTTTAAAAAAAAAAATCCTTTGTGTCAGGAAAAGAAAGTTTATTTTTTCTTTCTCACTGCTTTTTTATTTTGTTGGGCTTTTTTTAGACTCATCCATTTTTCATTTTATTTTTTTAACCTATATTTACTTGATTTTGCTTTAGAAATACATCTGTGGACTCTCTGTCTCCATCAAGGTTTGTTGCAGTTATCTTTAAAAGAAAGAAAACTCCTTGCTTTATTTTTTGTTCTCTGCAGATACACAGACCCAGTAGATGATCACTTGCTTGACCTCTGTCCTCCCCTGAGCTGGGGATAATTGGTTTATTATTAGACACATTATAAGTATGATTATTATTTTCTTTTCAAAGAAAGTCTTTAAGGTGTACAATTCAGGGCCTCAGAAGGAAAGGTGCATTCAGAGAGATCCGTATCTCCTATTGATAGACAAAGTGAATAACTCAGAAATTTAAGAGCCTTCAAAATCTAAACTGTTCTATTGAGGCCCAAGAACAGAGTAAGTAGTGGAAACTACATTCACAATCAGAGAAGAAGAATTATTAGAGTCATATTTAAATATTTATTTATGTTAGAATAAGAATTAGCTACTCTCCACCATTAAACCCATTGTGTTTTGAAGTCAATTTCTCTTTAAAAAATTTTTTTATTCTCTGTGCATATTCACATGTACAGAGATATCAAAGTGAACTTGCAGACAGTCATGAGAGATGCAGTTGATCAATTGCTGCAAACAGCTGGTGCTCCTTTCTTGCATAACAGCTGGTGCTCCTTTCTTTCTTAACCACTCGCAGTGGCCATTGATGGTTCTCAGGAAGGCGAGGGAGAAAAATGCCACCATCTTTCTGAGGCAAAAATAAAGAAATAGTGAGGTATTTGTCTGCCTATGTACAGAAGAATAGAGCCTTCCAAATATCCATTACAATCTTTTAATTTGTTGTATCTTGATAAGATGGTTACAATAGTGTTAATTTTGATGGTATTGACACACCTTCACCATCACAAAGTGCCCAAGACTGCCCACCACCCACTACCCTTATGTCAGTTCTAGTCTGCCTCTTCCTTTTCTAAGAATGGAATTTGTAGTATGATTTTGTGACTTGAAAGGAGGCCTAGGGAATCTGCCTTACCTACAATTGGATAATATATAAGTTATCACAAAAATGAGAGTCTTTGGAATCAACTATAATCATTCGGCAAGAAATAGCAGCTGGGCCCAGGTGACAGGTCAGCAAGTAGGGCTTTTGCCTTGCACTTGTCTGACTCAGGTTCGAGCCCCAGCACCCCATACAGTCCCCCCAGCACAGCTAGAAGTGATTCCTGAATGCAGAGCCAGGAGTCTGCCTTGAGCACTGCAAGGTGTGGGAAAAAAAAACAAACTAAGCAAAACAAAATAGTTGGCATGGGGGTAATAGGGAAAGGTGTTCTCAGTTTTCTTTTTAAGAAGGTTACGCTGTATCCTCAAATACGTGAGAAGCAGATTGGGAAATGCATGTTATAGTATATGTTTCAATTTCCAAACATGAATAAAATGTTAAACACACAAAGACGTTTCTTATCTCTCATAACCTAGTTAACATTTATAATTCTAATTTCAAAAGTAGGTGAGTTCGTGGTAGCTTAGCAACAAGAAATTCAATGGACTCAGTTTTGTAACATATTTTACAATAGTCTGAAATGGACAATAGATTTCCAATTAAACTGGTAATCGTGTCACTTAATATTTGGCTTGTAGGGCATCAGCCCAACGCAAAAAGAGTAAAGGAGACCGCATTTAATAATACAGCTAAACTAATTCTTTTCTTGAATATGCGACAATAATTTCATGGTATGCTTATCCCTTTTTTGTTATTACAGCCGAAGACTAGTAGTATATTTTGGTTTTCCAACACAATTTCATATTTCACATACATTTTATGCTGAAATAAAGTGAGTATCATACTGTCTGGAGGTTTTGAAATACTTGAAACAAAATTTAAAGCCTTAGAATGGTGTATGTGAACCTTCATTGTCTTTCTGGTGGTTATCTCTAGACTTCATCCAGAACTCTCTTCTTTGCTGACTCCCTACCATGCCTCTCCTGGCAGGTCTTTAAACTCGTTCTACCTCAGCTTATAGTTGTCTTCTTCCTGCCGCAGAAGCTCACATGTTCGCATGACTCACTCCCTTTACTTCAATCAAGTTTCTGCTCTGATAGTACCTGCTTGAAAATCGTTTTCCTGACATCTTTACTATTTTGTGTCTACTTATTTTTTGCAATCGGTTTTCCTTTCCTAATGTGAATGCCATTGAATTTTGTCTGACTTGTCCTAGAGTAAGATACCGGGAAACACTAAGGATACAATAAGTACCTGTTGTGTGGTTGAGTTTAAATTCTCTTGAAAACAATCTCTCGTGCTATTAAGAGAGCTTTGTAATATTAATATATTTACCTTCGTTATTTCTAGGACTTCAAGGTTACTGCATTTGGAAGAAAACATAGGGCCTAGTTTTAATTTAGAAACACGTGTAATTTACTATTCATATCTGTATTTACCCCTGTAGATTCATTGGCATTCAAGTGACCAGGGATTAATCTTTCTATATTAAAACGAATATCAGCTTTAAAAATAAGCATTCCATTATGAAATATGCATTCACTTTAGAAAACAAGGGAAATACAAAAACTATGATCAGAAGAAACTTGAATATTCTATACCTTTAATGCCCAGAAACAACCAGTGGATTAAGAATTTTTTTTTTTTTTTTGGTTTTTTGGGTCACACCTGGCGATGCACAGGGCTTACTCGTGGCTCTGCACTCAGGAATTACTCCTGGTGGTAGCTCAGGGGACCATATGGGATGCTGGGAATCAAACCCGCGTCGGCTGTGTGCAAGGCAAATGCCCTACCCGCTGTGCTATCACTCCAGTCCTGGATTAAGTATTTTTTAAAGTGTTGTATACAATCAGAATCTGGTTGTTTACCATAATTTGTATCTATGTCTTTCCCTTAACATATCTTGAGCATATCTTATCATTAAATATCTCTGGATATTTATTAATTAAATTAAATACTAAGTAATATTTAATGTCCCACAATATTCCACTGTGTATGTCTTGTACATTATTTTTTTCCTTTATTTTAGAGCCCTTCAGTGGTATGGAATTGTGGAATAATATTTTTAAATACTATAATGATTGCTTTGTATAAAATTACATATGTATCTTTAGACAGATTCTGGTAACTTTTTAAAATATGACTGATAAAATCCTAATAATGTGTTTTCTCAATCCTAATAAACTATTAACATTGCCATTTGTTTTAAGTCCAAAGTTTTAATGTTAAGTAACTCCTGTTATGCATCTTTCTTAATTTAACATTATAACATTATTTTATGTTACCGGCTCTATGTCTAGCCTACTTCATTTCTTCAAACTTATTGCATAACATTTCACATATGAATATATCTTAATTTAATTAGAATTCTACGAATGGACATTTCATTTCCTCCCATTGTTTCTTACTGTTGTAATTACTGTTTCGTTTAAATTATCTCTTACTGTTTCATTTAAATTATCCCTCTGTTCATTTGGGTAAATTTCTAGAATTAAATTTTCAGGTCAGTAGATGTATACATTTTTTTGATGTGCTGCCAAATTATCTGCTACAGATTTTTTGAATTTAAACTGGTAGGAAGAATAAATGAAAGTTCTTGCCTCAAATCTTCTACAACACTCTAATCTTTTGATTTCTTACAGTTTGAAAAATGATATATGTTGCCTTAGTTAAATTTCTTGAAAATTTGGATAAAATCAGATATGTTTTTGCTTTCATGGCGTTAGCCACTTTTTTCCTCTAGGTTCTATTTTAGGTTCTATTTTGCTGTCTCTGCTCAGATAAATAGATACAATTAGGAACAAATTTTTGCTTCTACTTTCTTATTTTTTCAAAATTATTGACTCCAAGTAGTTAGATTTGAATTAGACTAGAAACATTTTACTGTAGCTTTCTTGGAGGCTGGGGGTGGGGCTCACCACCCCAGGAGATAGTCAGGAGTTACTCCTCCCTGGCTCTGCATTCAGGAATTACCACTGGCTGTGTCCAGGACCATATAGATGCTGGAGATTGAACTCAGGTTGGTTGCTTACAAGCTAAACGTCCTACCCACTGTACAGTTGCTACAGCCCCAGCTTATAATTATTTTTATGCTATTTTTTCAAATAGAAGCTTAATTTTCCTTTACTCCTTTCTATAATAAAAGTTCAATTTGGGGGCTGGAGGAGAGCATAGTGGGTAGGGCATTTGCCTTGCACACAGCCAACCCAGGTTCAATTCCCAACATCCCATATGGTCCCCCCAAGCACCAGCAGGAGTAATTCCTGAGTGCAGGAGCCAGGAGTAACTCCTGTGCATTGCTGGGTGTGACCCAAAAAGATTTTTAAAAAGAAATGTTTAATTTTAAACAACTATTACATTTGTCATATTTAATCAATAAACTTTTAAATTAAGGCACATGATTTGAACCAACAATGCTAAAAGCAGGAGACCCAAATTACAACTACCAAATTTAAAACTATAAAAATTATTTTTACAGAATGGATATGATGTGTATGAATTTAGGAAAGGTATATCTGATTTTATTCAAATTTTAAAGAGTGAGAAACAATTTTTTCGTATATTTTTAGCATATAAATTATTATGTGTATAATTTGTATACATCACGGTCACGGTCCTCCCTTTGTTCATCGATTTGCTCGAGCGGGCCCAGTAACGTCTCCATTATGAGACTTGTTACTGTGTTTGGCATATCGAGTACATCACGGGTAGCTTGCCAGGCTCTGCCGTGCGGGCGAGATACTCTCGGTGGCTTGCCAGGCTCTCCAAGAGGGGCAGAGGAATCGAACTCGGGTCGGCCATGTTGGCTGCTTGTAAGGCAAATGCCCTACCACTGTGCTATCGCTCCAGCCCCAATTTGTATACATGCATACATTATATATAATATATCATATACATATATTATATATAATGTATGGACTTCCCACTTTCTCAGGGAGCACTCCTGGTAGGATTCAGGAGACTTTATGGGATGCCAGGGATTGAATCTTGGTCAGAACATACAAGACAAGTGCCTTACCTACTGTACTACCTCTCTGGCCCCGTATGTTAATATATTTTAGTAATTCATTTATAAAGTTCCAAACTAAAATATCATCCACTAGAATTACTGTTTATATAATAAATATTAACATAATTACAAAAAGTAATATAATATTGAAGTTTTCTAACAATCTCCTATGCATTATTTTACTTGGCTCCAAAGCTCATTTTGAATCTCAAAATATTGACTGACATGGTCATGTCATTTTGTGGTAAATATGAGTCTCATTTCCAATTCATACATTATTTTCTTTATGGTAAAGAAATTTAGAGAAATTCATTGTTAAGATTAACCCTCTGATCTCTAGATAAATGAGGAACTATGTTTCTTGTGTCTGATTATTTTGCAATCACTTCCACTTATTTAGGCCGTATTATTCTAGCATTCTAGACATACACTTGTTTGATTTGAAATTATCATATAAGACCTAAAGAATTGCTTTTATTTTCACCCAAGAGGAAAAGTTTCGGAGAAATGATTTGTTTGAGATCAGCAGAGAATTTAACAAAGATCCAGAATCAGTGTCCCAACCTTCAGGGTTTAAAATGTACGTCGATGATGTTACAGTCAGGTATTAAATTCAGCTTACACAATAATATATATAATAATATTTTAGTAACCCCTAGGTAAATAAAATTGGCAATGAAACAAACCATAAATATAGTCTTTTTTCCTTTACCTGATATTTTACGATTATTTTGAGTTATAAATACTTTTAAAACTTATTTTTATTGAGATAACAGTTTATTTAGAATTCATAGCAAACCAAGATTCGGAATACTCTTTCATGAGAAAAAGTACTCTTTTCCTCTGAGAATATAATAACGATTTAGTTTTCCAAGGTAAAAAAATTCTAGGGAAGTTTACTAATAAAAATGATAAGAAGGGCATACATCCGGTTTACATTTCCTATGCTGATCCTACCTAGAAACAGGTAGTTTGAAGTGCATGGACAACAACTGATGCATCTTCAATGAGATCAAATTTTACTTAGGATTTATTTCTGTTTAAAATTTGTTGAGTCAATGTTAATTCCTAATAAATATTTTAGTTTATTTTGTAAATTGAATGCTTTTATTTAAGGATGCATTGCTTCTTTTCTTTTTTTTTTGTTTGCTTTTTTTTCGAGGGGGATCACACCTAGGGGTTACTCCTGGCTCTGCACTCAGGAATCACTCCTGGCAGTGCTGGGGGGCCATATGGGATATCAGGTGTCCAACTCAGGTCGTCCACATGCAAGGCAAACACTCTACCCACTGTACTATGGCACTGGCCCCAAGGATGCATTTCTTAATCATTTTATCACACCTTTTATGGAAAATTGAAATTCCTTTTTATACAGGAAACTGGAATCAATAAGTTTGCTTCCAATAAAGTGTTCAGGCACTTCTGTACATACTCTCTTCAATATTGCCTAATCTGGGAACGTTGCTTGTTATATTTGGTGACCTTAGTATGGCAAAATACATATTTTCTCCAAAATGTATTTCCAAATTATCATCAGTAGGGAGATAAACAGTGTTTTCTTATCAATAAAAATGTCCTTGTGAGCTACATTTTTTATAATAGTGATGAAATGTCAATTTTTAAAAGCCTTTAAAAAAAAAAATCTGACCCGTTTGTAAGTTTTGTGAATTCAGCAGACCTGCCTATAATCAAATGTCTTTCTCAATCGTAACCTTTAAGGTTCTAATAAAGCTATAGATAATACTCAAGTGAGATTTTCCTCTTGACCATCTTACTTGAATAAGTTAAGCCAGCTGCTTTTAATCATGCAATTATTCTGTGGCTTATTGTGCAACTCTAAGAGGAATGGTGTGTCTAGAATGCCTTCCTCTTCTAAGAGAAACTTTAGATTAAGCTCTGATCCTGGTCACTAATATTAGCTACATATCTGTCTTTTCTCTTGAAACAGCTCAATGGTTATTCGGGACTTAACCTTACGCAGTGCTGCTAGCTTTGGCTCCTTCCACCTGATCCGTCTACTCTACGACGAGTATATGTTCTATTTAGTAGAACATCGTGTTGCTCAGGCAACGGGAGAGACCCCCATTGCTGTCATGGGAGAGGTAAGAGAGGCTAAAAGAGCTATGATCCCCCCAGGACTTTAAAAAGAGTTATTTAAGGAAATTTCTAACCAGTGAATCTTAGACTCTGAGTGGAGCTGTGGTGTTATTGCAGGGATCCTAGATCCCTCTGCTCCTTTATATTTTTTAAATGAGAATCTTTAAAGTGCAAATTGTAGTCTACCCTTGGAAGGTTTCAACGTGTTATAAAGGCATCCATGCAGAAGAAAAAGTCCTGACAATCAATGGACTAGAATTAATTATTGAATGAAAAATAAAGATACTTCTTATAAAGCTCAGAACTGGGAATATGCAAGGGAAAGTGAAGTTAATGTGTATTTATACTCTTTTTTCCCAGATGCCCCAAAACAAGATTACTGATTCTGTTTCAGAAACATAATACTTAGCTAGCACTGTTGGGACAGTGCATAATATTCTTAAGACCTTTGTAGATAAACATTTGTAGCTACAACTCTGCGATTGATGCTACTTTATCTTCTTTTGAAGATAAGTGTCTGAGATTCTTGTGGAAAACTAAGACACAAAGATTAAGTAATGATATACTTAGTGGCGAAGGCCTGTTTTGAGTACCATCTGATTATAAAATCTATGCTTCTAGTCACTACAGATGTGGCAGATGCAGAAATTTTATTCCTCCCAATCTCTGTACGGTATTAAAATACCTCAACAAGTGTTAAAAAACCAAAGTTCTGAGGTTAATATAAATAACAGTTTATTAATATCATGTAAAATAAAGCAGATGTTTAGATGATTCAGAAGTGGTTTACTGTATTGAAATGAGGATGCTTTAGATCTTGCCGGATTATACCAGTTTAGACTGTAACTCAAACTACAGAAAAAAAATAGGTCTGTTCATTTTTTAAGTTATGTGTGCCTATTTAAATTTAGAAATGAAAAAATATTAGATGATTTTCTAGTTAAATAAATGATAATAAAGATAGATAAAACATGAAGTACCTCAGGAACCTCCATAAGTATTCATATTAATTATATTCATGTCCTATTTAAGAATGTCAGTTAAAGTAGTCCTCATTCCCTCTTTTAAAAATCCCTTGGTGTTTGACAAATTATATGTGTCTTTGTGTGATGTTGCTTACTGGTGATTGTACTTAAATGATACCAATTATATATGTGTGAGTTTAAGCAAGAATCACTGTAGCTTTTAAATTATAGGCAGGATCTTATGTTACCAAAATTATCTGGACTTTTCTTAAAATTGGCTTCCCATCACTGCCTATTACTTTAGTTCTTTTATAGATTCCTGATTGCAAAATGCCCAGTTGGCATATATATTAAGCACTAAAATTTTTCTAAACTCAGGGCTCAAAACTTCTGAAATAAACATGCCTTTTGATATATTTAACACATTCCCATCTACCTCATCTGTTCCAAGACAACTTGGAATAGGACAAAAGGGATACTGACAACAACAGTGATCCTAATTAACAGAATGTGGCTAATCCTGATGTGTGCTATTGTTTTATTGTATCTCTAGGGAGCAAAGGCTGTGTACCTGAGCTGGTCACACAGTGTGAAGGCATAGCTAGCTGTCTCCTATGGTTGTACAGGGAGTACTGATCTACCAGAATTTATATGGCGTACTCGGGAAGTCCTGTCAAGTGATTATACTAATAGACATCCTTTAAATTTATCATTATATATAACAATAAAAAATGACAGCTTGCCACATGAAGCAAAAAATATGAATAAAGCATAGTTCGGAAAATGAGGCATAAAACACTTTCTGTAAGCTCAAAGATCTAAGCACCCCCTCATGATTACAGTTAAGGCTAATTTTATAGGCATGATCGTCACATAATAATGCCTCCTCATACACCTGCTGGGCATGATAAACATGTTGGCCATGGTCATATTTTTTAAATTTCTTGGTGTTTGAATAATGTAGCTGTAAAGTCAAGGAAAAGGTAGGCTGTTTTCTCATGTGCCCCTCACATGTTACCCCAAGCTTACTCTACAAATCAAACTGGAGATAAAAAGGATTTTACTTGTTGAGTCTCAGTGCGTTTTTTGATAAAAATCACACTTAATCTCGGTTTAAGTAAGTGGCTCTTAATCAACAATAATAACAACCACAAAATAATAATTATAAATACTTTATTGGGAGCTCTTCATATACTTAATGACATTAGGTCTTGCTTTATTTTCTTTCTCAGTAAATAGTTCCATGACCCTTCCTGTTGGGTTCGCTAGACACCTTGGTGTGATCTTCTTCTATGTCTTTCTGTCTTGACCTCTGTAACCAGTCAGTTGCTATGTCTGATGTTTTCTAAACCCTCATGGTATCTTATCTTATGAAAATGCAAACCTAATTGTTTTATCATTACTTAATTACCCTTCCGTGACGTTCTCTTCTTTTGTGTTAAAGAATAAAATTCTTAGTTCTTTCTTAAAAAAATAATTTCTTGGGGGCTGTAGTGATAGGGTAGGTAGGGAGCCTGCCTTACCTGTGACCAACCTGGGTTCAGTAGTCAGCATTCCATAGAGTCCCCCAAGCCTGCCAGAGGTGATCCCTGAGCACTAGGGGTTGTGGCCCCAAAACAAACAAATTCTTGCTCTTATGTCTCTTGACCCTGTCCTTCCGATCAAGTTCAGTGTCCTCCCCTCCTCCTGTTGCATCTTTCATAATCGCAGTGGCCTCTTTTATACTCTTATTTGTGAAACATTTCTCTTTGTGAGAACACTTTATAAAGACCTGTTTCTGCCTGGAACAACTCTGGTTTGCCTTAAGAAAGGCCCACAAATACTTGAGATACATTGGCCCTCAATGCCTTCAGTATATTGATGATCTATATTCTTGCTATTTACTTAGAACCTACACAACTATATTTTTATAGTTCTCTCTATGAGGTATATAAGTGAAGATTTTAAATCTTAAGAAAAGGCTGCTGCAGAATAGCCAAATTCCACACCGCTTGTTTTTGTTTTCAATTGAATCGCCGCACGATAAAGCTGTTCATGATCGAGTTTCAGTCACGCAAAGTTCCAACATCCCTCCCTCCACCAGTGTACACTTCCTACCACCAGCGTCCCCCCCCCCCCCCCGCCCCGCCACCCGCCCCCTGACCCCAACTGTCTCAGGCAGGCACTTTCCTTCTTTCCTCTCTCCTTTTGGGCATTCTGGTTTGCAGTGCAGATACTGCCACGCAGGTTTTTTACTTACACTTTTGTAATCTCCTGAGTCTCCAGTAATCTTTTACCGAGGAAGGAAAGATCCACATGACCTGCTGACATCGGGCAATATAACAAGACCCTGAGTATTAGCCATTTCACAGGAATTGTGTGGCAGCTTTAGTTAACTCATCCACCCTTTGGTGATTGGGAACCCAAGTTCTATCCATGGCATCCCTATAGTCCTCCAAGTCCGCCAGGAGCGATTCCTAAGTGCAGAGTCAGGAGTAACCCCAGAGCATCACAATATGGTCTAAAAAGGAAAATTAAAGAAAGTCTAAAGACACAAAATTAGGGAGTCAAACAGACAATGAATTTAAAATAATTACCAAGAAAATCAGTGAACTGTATCAAAGGCACTTAACATGGAATAAAACAGTAATGACGTAAAAAAAACAGAATGGAGGAGGGGATGTTTTTCACCAAAGATATTAAAACTGAAAAAAAATTGGAATATATTCTATATATTAAAAACTCAGTGAATAAAATGAAAACTTCCGTGAAAAGCATAACATGCAGCCTCAATTATGCACAGGAAGTAAGTGGCACAATTAAAGACAAAATTCCTTTGGTGACTCAAGTGGAAGAGACAAGAGGAATGAAAATCAGGAAAAAATGAAAAACCCTGTGAAATTACCAGACTGTGGTTGAAAAGAAAACAGGAGGATAATGAATTTAACAGAGGGTGAAGAGAGAGTCTATTCAAACAAGTGATAGCAAAGAACTTCCCAAAACGAATGAGAGATCTAACCATAGACTCCAGGAAGCTAAGAGAAAACAGATTTCTAAATGCAAAAATGTTTATTCCAAAACACATGATTTTAATTTATGAAAATTAATGATAAAGTATTAAGCCCTGCTTGGGGAAATAGATACCTAACATACAAATACACCGTGAATTGGCACCGTGAACTAAGTTTCACAGCAGATACTCTACGAACAAGGAGACAAAGGATGTCACACTTCCAGTTCTATAATTAAAATCTACCAGTTGGGACCAAAGGGAAAGAACGCTTGCCTGTTATGTGGCCCACCCAGGAGTGGCTGATGAAGGTTCGATCCCCTCGAACCCCATATGGTTCCCTGAGCACCACCAAGGGTGATCTCTGAGCACAGAGCCAGGAGTAAACCCTGAACATAGCTGGGTGTAGTCCAAAACCAAAAGAAGAAAAATAGACTCTACCAGCAAAGAATACACTTTCGGTAATTTAAAAATATCTCTAAATTAAGAGTATGGGGAATCATGTCTGCCATGGAGGCAGGGGGAAGGTGGGAAAGGGGGATAGGAGGGTTATACCGGGGATATTGGTGGTGGGGAATGTGCACTGGTGAAGGGACGGGTGTTTGATCATTGTGTGATTCTAACCCAAACATGAAAGATTGTAACTATCTCACGGTGATTCAATACAATTTAAAAAAAAAATCTCTGAATTTATAGAAATAAAGGTTTTCCCAGAAAAGGAAAAGCTAGTGAAGCTTTAAGACCTTTACTCCAAGAAATGTTAAAAGGAATTCTTTCACATAAAAGAAAAAGAACACTTAACTTTGAGTTAGGTGATAAGTAGTAAGATAGAATCAAAAATACAAACAATAAAATGAGACAGTAAAAAAAATTAAAAAACAATTAAAAAAACAAAAAGGGGAGGAAGAAAGTGACAGTCTCTGTAGACTAATGACAAGGGATTGATAGCAACATAAAAAGACTGGTTAAGTCAGAAAGACTGATTATATCATCATGGCAACCACAAAACAAAATAGAGACACTTATATTGTAAAAAAATGAAAGAATTGTC